TCAATACCATCTTCAGATCCTCATCGGTATGGTCATGCAATAACCTGCGATACTCACAGACTGGAGGCACGATCAAGTCATAGAAAGCATTTATGGTAGTTGGAGAAGAGGAGATCTTTTTACCCCTGACATGGACGGAGGTCTTTCATGTAGAAGACACTGATGCATAAAATTCATGAACCCAAGTGAGGTAATAGGGCTCTCTAATCGTAGCAAATGCCTCCCATCCTCTTTGGAGAATGACGTCATGTATGAAAGGATAAGCCTCTATATAACCCCTGTCAAATCCTCTCTCACCTAGCCCTAAAAAAGTCTTATATTTCTGAAGATTTCTTGGTTTACGGTAGTTCTCACTATGGCTGTCCGTAGCTCTAGTGCGTGCTTTTTTCTTGGGCGGGCTAGGTGGTTCTTGATGGCGTGTGGATCTCCGAAGTTGGGACAATGGAATGTCCTCGTCCAGAGTCCACTCTGAGTTGTCAGACTCAACCTGATGCCTCGTTGTGAACCTCTCAATCGGGACTAGGCCAGAGTCAGTAGAGGTCTGATTGCTATCTGCATTGGACCTGGCCGGAGAGGGAATGGAGGTAGGCTGGCAGTCTAGAAAGGCATCAAAGCCAGTACTCACCAATGGTGCAGTGTACGTGGGATTGATGGGTGGCATGGGCATGCAGGCATCATATGCATCAGAAGTCATGTAAGAGATGGGAATGTAGATAGGAAAAGGAGGAAGTGCATAGAATGGATTATTAAATCTGTCGAATGCAATGGTGATCGGTGGAGGAGTGTAAAGCTGTGATGTCAAGTTTACTATGCCCAAATCGACCATGGGAGAGTCATTAATGTGTTGATGTGATGTGTGTGCATCCATGAGAGTGATGACATCCGAAGAGGTGGTGGAAGTTGTCCATTCAAGCAAGTGACTATGGTCCTCCTCTTTCATGAAAAAGGCATTTAAATCAATATCAAAGAGAGAGTCCTCGCCGAGCATTTCCTGACTCTCAATGTGCTCCATAGGATCACTTTTGATTGGGTACTCATTTTGAGCATCATGTGTAGGAGTGTGCACAGGTATTGAAGTATCAGGGAGACTCACAATAGGGTTGAGGTGGCATATGTCAAAGTCTGTGCTCTATGTCTTGGTAAACCCTTGGGAGAGTGGCTGATCTGGAGGTGGGACTCCCGAGGGTTGTGCATTATCTTGACTCTCATCCTTTATCTTAATGCGTTTGGCTCGTGGTTTTCTTTGCTTGGGTTTTGGCAAACCTTTGGGAACATAAGTTTCCACATCGATGGCCTTACCTTTCTCTTTGGTCATTGGTTTGGTGACATGTCTTTCTGTGGACCTAGTGGCTGGTCTACGAGGTGTGGGTTTAGGTCTAGGTGGAGGGGAAGGGGATGGGGCTGTTTGGGTTTGGGAAACAGTGGATAATGGAATTTGAGGTGTCCAAACAGTAGGGTTAGGGGCTGTTTGGGTTTGGACAGCAGGTGTAGCGGTTGGTTGGGCTAAGGAAATGGTAGGTTGGATAAATGTTGGGATTAGGACAGCAGGTAAAGGGATTGTTTGGCCAAATGGAATGGCTCTAAGAGGGGTAGGACATGGGATGATGGATCTTAGCAACCATGGTGGTAGGTTGGCTAAGTTGGTTGGTAGAGGGAATGTGGTTTGTGGTATGGGAGGAGGGGAAGGTCGGGAAGGGTGAGGGTACCCAGGTGGTATCCTGTCATCCATGCCAAATCTGCACAGAAAGAATAAACCAAAGGAGGAAAGTCAGTTTAGGTTCATGATGCCAAGTAGTTGAGAGTCTTATGTATGTAAGTATAATCAAGTCATGCACATAAGGCTCAAAATTACTTATTTCATGGCTGTAAGGACAGCCTACTGTATGTATTTATGTAGTTACACACTCAAAAACTGAAGTTGTATACATATGCAAACAAACCAAGGAAAATCACCCAAGGGCCAAGACAGGTTGTTATGCTCAAAAGAGGATGTACGCATAGGGATCATCTTTTCCTTGTTAGCACTATAATCATGGAACCCAAAACCAAGACATGCACTTTTAAGGTTCAAAAAGAAGGCTTTTGCAGCTTGCTTGCTCCCTGAAAATCATGTTCTAAACAGGCTGAAAATCATCTATAGATCCAATTCAAAAATCATGTTATGGACCACAATCAATACAGTTAATAGTGAGAACAAGAAGCAGGCTGTTGTGTGATCAAGCTCTCATCACAGCCCCAAAATGGCTGTCTGTAAAGCAAACAGTGTGGCCATGAGATCAAATCCAAGCATTTTTGAGTGCCTAAATATAGCCAAAAATGGCTGTTTGCACATTTATCAGTTTGATCATGCTATCATGGCGTCAAAAACCCATAATGCAAGCTTCATGCATAAGTAAACATAAGAACAAGCCACAATCACACAACCAGTGGATGGTATGATCAGAGCCCATAAGGGCTGTTTGCACAGTCAGCAGGTTGGTCATGAGATCAAAATGAAAGAGAGAACAGTAAATAGGCAAAACACAGATATACACATGGTAAGCTAGCCGAGGGGTTTATGCTTTCAACTGTATCTAAAGCCTTGGAGTAGCATAATGGAACTCAACAAACAGTAAATGGGCAAAACTTCAGGCTTTGTGCTTTGTGTGCAATCATATGCATTATGTATTGAACTCACACAATACGGCCAACTCAGATAGAAATCAAACTTGCTGTCTGTCTGAACTCTTGATTCGGCAAACATAGAGAGACAGGTTGTGACTTATGGCAATAATTCTACATTAGGCATGCTTCAAAAACAGGTCTCATCTAGATAGCTTGTACGGACACCAAGTTTTTGGAAACAAGACTAACCAAACCACATAGTGACCAAGTCAGGCCTTGTTCTGTTTTGAAAGATTCATGAAAACAGAAGTGAACTCAGGTCTGGGTTGCCTGATTTGCCAATCAGAAGGAGTCAAAATTATCTCTTGTCTGCTGTTTTGGATGCATACATGAACAACTATTAAAGAGAAAAACACACTAACAACAACAGGTTCCTTTCAGACAATCGAGACTAATGGTCAAGAGAGGCAAAGAAAACCAACAAAATGAAGGTAATAAAATCACCTTTTCATAATGCATGAAGACACAAAGCTTTTAGGCAGAAATCATGCTATTATGGTGTCAAAAACCCAAAATGTAAGCTTCATGCATATGTAAATATGAGAACAAGTCAGAATCACACAACCAGCTTGGTTGTTTCCGGATGGTATGACCAGAGCCCATAAAGGCTGTTTGCACAGTCCGCAGTTTGGTCCTAAGGGCAAAATATGATCAAGACATCTAAAAAATGTGAGATTCATGCGTATGCAGATTCGAGAACAAAACAGATTCTCACAACCAGGTGTCAAAATGGCTGTTTATGCTGTTAACCTGCTTGGTCAGGGGTTCAAAGATATGAACAACACAGATATTTGGATGTAGTTTGGAAACATAAGCAATAAATCAATGAGTTTAATGTTTCCAAACTTGCAAAGCAAATGATCACAAAGCTAAATAAATGTCAAGACACACAGTTAGTGAGACATGTTGCTTGCAGTCATGTTCCAAAGTAGCATGATGATACCCAGCAGAATTTAATCATAGACACAAGTCAGATTCTTGCTTTGTGTGGGTAGGAGATGCAATGCAGATTTCGAATGATTAATGAAGTCAAGGCTGACAGTGGTGGAATGCATGCCTACTCACAACAAGTTATATCTATCAAGAATTCCAAAGCTGATGGGAACATAATGCAAATAACCACATAATGATACAGATACTGATAACAAGACTTATGAACCTAAATCATGTTATAGTAGTTACAGATTTTCATAAGGATGGTTATCAGGCTCCACATGATCAAGATGGCTTTGCACAAACAGCCTGTTCAAACTATCAAAACCACAATGTTTTGACCTATTTAGGCCAACACATGACCATGGCTGCTGCTTCTAGATTCAAGATGATGAACCTTAAAGATGAATAAGTTAGTCCTTGATGTAAAGACCAGCTGTATTCATATTTGATCATGCGTGCTGTAAACTCTTGAAATCGAGGCTGCTGTGAGATTTGCTGCAATTCTGTTTGCTCTAAGAATACAGAAAGTTTATCTTCCGTTTCTTATAAAGAGAAACATGGACCATTTGTTGTAAACAACTCACAATGTTTGAAAACTTGCTGTACTCTACCTACAAAGATTTGCTATTTGCTGAATTGGCATTTTGTACAATAGTTGAACTAGGGTTTATACTTTGCCGATTGACAATAGCATTATAACCCTGATTCCTGCTCGGCAGTGCCCGATTATGCATAAGGGAACCCATTTGGCCAAAAATTGATCAAAAACAAGCGGCATTTTGCTTAAATGACTAAGATTAGGGACAAAGAGCAACATACCTGGTCTTATTTGAACAAATCGTGCTTTCTTAGCTTCCCCTAGTTCGAATGATGTGTGAATCAAACCTGCCTTGCCGAGTCCTTATGTAACAACAAAAAAATAGAAAAGGGGGTATCGTACTTGATTACCGAAGGCAATGATGAAGATGATGCAAGGGGTAAGGGAAATTGGTAGTCGGCAATAGCGATGGGAAGGGAAAAGAAGGGCACGATAGACTGATTCTTGGGTCTGTGATGGACTGAGTTAGAGAAGGACAGGGAAGAAAAGAAATGAAGATGTCTGCTTTGGCGATGGATGGGAAGTGAAACAAACAGGGTGAATAGTGGCGGTGATGGTCTCTCTTTCTCGTACAAAATCAGGCTTGATGGAGAAAGGGTGCAGGCTTTGTGATGAAATGGTGATGAAATGGGTGATGATCTCTCCTTCTCGTACAAGAGAAAACAGTTGATGGAGAAGGGGAGCAGGCTTGCGTACG